TCTCAAATAAATAAATAAAATCTTTAAAAATAATAATAATAATTCTTTTCTTAAAGAATATTAAGTATATGGGGGAAAAGTTACAATAATAACGCAGGTTGCAAAATTATATATACCATGGGATCTGCTATAATCACAATGGCAGAAATAATTTATAACTATATAGCAACCATAGAAACATATCCACTAAAATTGTAACTGGTTATTTATGGATGATAGAACTTTCATTTCCTTCTTTGCCCTTTTTTCTTTTTCTAATTTTAATTCAGTGACTACATGTTTTTACATAATTCGAAAGCAGAACAAATGTTATTCAAATAATCAAAAACTTCATAGAGATTACATTTGATTCACATGGTTTTTCTTTGTGATTTTTCTAAATTTTCCATAACAATAGTCACTGTCCTAGTCTGCTCAAGCTGCCAAAATAAATATCATAGACTGGGCAGCTTGAACAACAGAAATTTATTTCTCACAGTTCTGGAAGCTGGGAAATCCAAGAGTAAGGTGGTGGCCGATTCAGTTTCTGGTGACAGATCTCTTCCTGGCTCTTTGCTGTGTCCTCGTATGGTGAGAGAAGTGAGGGCTCTCATTTCCTCTTCTTATGAAGGCCACAAATCCTATCAGGTTAGGGCTCCACCCTTATGACCTCATTTAACCTTAATTGCCTCCTAAAAGCCATATCTCTAAATACAATCACACTGGGGGTTAGGGCTTCAGCATAAAAATTTGGGGATGGGGGGCACAATTCAGTCCATAGCAGTTAGTTTGCTTTTCTGCTTTAAGACAACCAACAACTTATCAACTGGGTTTCTATCTGGGGTGGGAGCAATGGGGAACTGTCCTAAAATATGTATGGATAGGTCTCCAGGAAAAACTCTTGCAGCTTGAAAAGATCCTACATAAAGGTAATTCTTACATTTTTTCCCAACTTTACCACTAAAGTGTCACTATTTTATTTATGAAGATGTGTGTGCTGTTTATAATTAGAAAAATGAATGTTATTTAATAAAAAATATATGCTAAATGCAAAATATGAATTAAACATATAGCTATTTCTCTTGGTTTTCACAAAGATCTATTTACATGAGACAAAGTGAATGAGTTCACAAAATTCTTTTAAAAATAAATGTGAAGGGGCGCCTGAGTGGCTCATTCGTTAAGCGTCTGCCTTCAGCTCAGGTCATGATCCCAGGGTCCTGGGATCGAGCCCTGCATTGGGCTCCCTGCTCGGCGGGAAGCCTACTTCTCCCTCTCGCACTCCCCCTGCTTGTGTTTCCTCTCTCGTGTGTCTCTCTCTGTCAAATAAATAAACAAAATCTTTAAGAAAAATAAAAAATAAAAATAATTGTGAAATAAGGCATTTTCAGTACAAACAGGCTCTAAAATATCTAGTCAGCTCATGACTTTCAGTGACATTCTTAATTCCTAGTTTTTCACATGTGTCTAAACTTACTCAGGTATCTTCTTTACAATGGGTCATCTAAATCATATGTTTATAATTTCTGCAATAACAAAAGCTCATAATAAAGGAACAACATTCGGGCGCCTGGGTGGCTTAGTTGGTTGGGTGACTGCCTTCAGCTCAGGTCATGATCCTGGAGACCCGGGATCGAGTCCCGCATCGGGCTCCCTGCTCAGCAGGGAGTCTGCTTCACCTTCTGACCCTCCCCTCTCTCATGCTCTCTCTATTTCATTCTCTCTCTCAAATAAATAAATAAAAAATCTTTAAAAAAATAAAAAATAAAAAAAAAATAAAGGAACAATGTTCTGTGCACAGTTCCTTACTGACAATCTATTTTGGGGGTTTAGTCTTCAGAGACTAGTCTTCTCAGGATGGGGCACACGGGCATCACAGAACTACTGCAGACTCCCTGCCGGCGTGAGGTACTCGCCTGGACAAATCAGAAGGACCCATTTCCCATGCTTTCGGCTTCTGCTTATGCATGGGGAACTGTGTGTGGCAGAGAGAACACACTGGTTTTGAGATGCTACAGAATCAAAGAGATGTTGAAGGGATGGGAGAAGACAGACGCTTCAGGACCATAGAAGGAGAGGCTGGGCAACCATAAATCAGAGAAAGATGCCGGCCCTGAGAAAAGAGCCACTAACCCTGGAGAGGGAGCCGCCTTAGTGCCCTGATGACAGATGAGCCTGCGCCGGTTGGAGATGAGAGGTGCTCCAGCAACGTTCAAAGAGTGGGTAGGAATAATGTGGTTAAATCATCCAGAATGGCCACAGCAGTGAGAGAAGCAGAGAGAAAGTCCTCATTACAGGGGATTCAAATACCATCTGGGGGTTTTAGTACAGAAAGCCGAGTGAAGCACTTTGAAATGTGTTCTGTTCCTCATTTCTCTGGTAAAAGTACCAACCATTGAAATGGAGTTTCTTTGCAACTGGTGGGGTTCGCCAGACTCCCCAGTGAAATCTGAGTCCTACTCTTCCTCTTGTCTATTTGTTTCACATGTAGTCCACTCTCCAGATGTATTCTTTATAGCCTGATAGCCTGAACAGAAACATTTCTAACTGAACACAAAGGATCTCATGCAAGTCCCCAAATACAAAAACAGACAGCATGGAAAAGAAAAGGATATCAGAAAGAACATTAAAAAAAATAATAATAAAGCAAAGGAAGAAACAAAACGCAGAAAATTTCTAGACATTTCCTAAGTATCTTTCTACATACTGAGACCATATTAATCTCCGTAACACATTGCTTATACCATGCCATCACCTTATTCAGAAAAAGCTAGTGGCTTAAGTACTTTACTCTGGGATAGTGTAATGGCCTGAACTGTGTCCTCCCCAAAACTCATAGGGTGAAGCCCTAACCCCCTGATACGCTTGTATTTGGAGAAAGGTCCTTTAAGGAGGTGATTATGATTAAATGAGGTCATAAGGGTTGGGCACTCATATAACAGGACTGTGGCCTTATTAGAAGAGGATGAGGCACTAGAGGTCTCTCCCTCCACATATGCACAGAGGAAAGGCTATGTGACGACACACAGTGATGAGGTGTGGCCATCCACAGGCCGGAGAGTCCTTTTCAGAAACCAACCCTGCTGGCACCTTATCTTGGACTTTCCAGCCTCTAGGACTGTGAGAAGTAAATTTCTGTTGTTTAAGCCACCCAGCCTGTGATATTTTGCTATGGCAGCCCACGGAGACTAATATAGATAGCACGCGGTGTCCACCATATACTTCTAAACTCTCTCTCCAGTAGTATGTGTCTCTCCCTATTTCTGAGTCCAAGCACTATCTATGTCATACGATTTATGAATCCTAACAACCATACCTTTGTGTTCAGTGCGCCTCATCCTTATTAATGCTTTTTCTGAAACATTAAGATACTGAGTCTTACCCATTTCTCAAGTTTCATCAGAGGTCCTGATTGATTCCTCTGTGGAGCCTTTCTCCTTCACCCCAGGTGGGCAGTGTTCCCCTCCTCTGAACTCCTACTGAACTTCCTGCCTGCACTACTAATTTGACCTTTATCACATGCTGTTAGTACTTCTCTGAGAGCAATGTCAGATCCCCTAGCTAACACATTTTTCTTACAATCTGTATTCATCATTACAAAATATGGAACACAGAGAAAAACACACAAGAAAGAAATACTACCTTTATTAGCTCACCAACACTCAGACCATCTGGTAAATACTTTCAAAAACTAAAATACTTTGTCTTCTGTTCTAAGCGTATGCATGTATATATACAGAATCCAACTCCACATGCTTTATGTTATGCTTCTTTGACTTAGTCTGGAACATCGACAATAGTCATTATTCTTTCCAGAGTTGATTTTAATTGAGTCATAATATTCTATCCTATGTACCATAATTCATTTAACCAACTCCCTATTGATGACTGTTTAAATTATTTCTAATGTATCTGTGCTATAAATACCCTGTGATAAATATTCCTACCAAACAATCTTTGCATAAATTCATTAAAAATCCCTGGGATAAAGTTCTAGAACTCTTCTGAGGTGCACCTCCTACTCTATGCGCCCTTATGAGCTTCCATGAACTCCTCCAGGTCAGTCTACTGCCCTGTCTCGCCTTCCCTCCAACCAAAATCTCATTTTTATACGACTTCCTCTTGGCCCAGAAAAATCATATGAAAACATTTCACAAAATAAAAAAAAAGCCAATTATTTGAGATACCACCACAAGATAAGACTTTTAAAAAGTCTATCAAAATCCATTTATTGGTTGCCTAAAGTTTTATGTAAAGACTAAGGCAAAATGTCAAATTTTAGGACTATTTATTTATTTATTTATGAGAGAGAGAGAGAGAGAGAGAAAGAGAGGGCACAAGCCAGGAGAGGAGCAGAGGGAGAGGGACAAACAGACATGAGGCTCCATCTCACAACCCTGAGATCACGACCTGAGCCAAAATCAAGAGTCAGAGGCTTAACCGACTAAACCACGCAGGCACTCCGACTACATCCTTGATATTACAAAAATAAATGAACTGCTACTCATCATTTCCTTAGTCAGTGTTTTAACTTTGGAAAGTGGAAAGTTTGCCGCAGTTCCAGGACTCTGGGTAGTAAGAATATGATTAGGTTTTTCTCTAAGAATACTGTTGTTTTCTCTCCAGAAAACATACCTAGTGAATAATTCCTGAGGGGGAAATAAATTACTCTTTTGTGAATCGGGTTTTAAACACAACAGGAAAACTATTTACTCTTTTAAAGTTTAGATTTTCCTCTTCGGCTACAGTGGATTTAATTATCATTGGTTCCTCCCGGCCAAGTGTCATATTCTTAGTCACACACACGTCAGACAGCATTGAGCTCGTTTAATCATTATATCCACATAAGCTCATTTAATCATTATATCCACCCTGTGAGGAAAGTAATATTCCCATTTTACAGATGAGAAAATGAGGTTTAGAGAGGTAAAATAATTTGCCTAACCTTACAATCTACAAGTGCCAGAGCTGGGATTTGAATGCAGGCGTTATGAAGCAATAGCCTTTCACTCTAGATTTACCTCTGAAATGGTTTTGCCCCAGGCGTAAGTGCCATCTTCAGGTCTGCCTCCATTTAGATGAATCCATACTCGTTTTGCATCCGGCTGCTGATAGACACTGCAGTACCTGCGTGCAGGATGTGTCGTTTCAACTGGAGAATTCCTCTTGACTTGCAGTTCTTGAACTGCAGAAAGGTGCGCCTGGTAAGAAAAGCCCAGGGAACACCGGGGTTAGAGAACTGCCTGGCTAGTGTGTGTACGGAGAATGTGATGAAAACAGAAATACTTAAAATTGCAAATTATATTTTAAAAATCGTAGGAAGTGTATTACCCTCTCCTGTCACTGACTCTTCGGTACATTCCCCTTGCTTCCATGAGTCACCAAAGGCAATAATAACCATTAGAGTAATAATAATAAGGTACTTATTTTGGCAAAACACTTAACTTTCATTTATAATTTGGAAAAATGAATGGAGATGTGTTTTTGGACTTCTGTGTGGTGTTTCTCCTACTGAGCAATTTCTCTGCATCTAACAAATGAGTTTTTGATTAGAATCACAACATCTTTTTCTTTAACCAAGAAATGCTTAAGGGAATGTGCACGACTGTTGTTTGAGTCTTCACTCTCTGTCTTTTAAAATACAGCAGCCACCCTTATACTTTGCCAGCTCCCTGCCAGGCAGCTTTTCATCCTATTTCAAGCATGTCCAGTTCAATGCTTTGCATTCATTCCCTGGTCAGTGATTTATCCTTCTCAGCTTGGCAAGAAGTCATACTTCTAGCAATGTCAATTTCTTTTTTCTAGTAACCTTGACTTGGGCACACGCCTAAGATTTAGATTGAACACATTTCACGATTTGAGAAACCCTATTAAATAAGAACATATCATTTTGATGAAAAACTTCACAAAGCAAAAAGTTTTCCCAGGTCTCTATCCCCAATCCTCTCTCAACAGCTGACCTTTCTCTTCTTGACTTTTTTATGTCTGGCAATCCTGACTGATTAACCAATTGGACTGAAACTGCTTTTTGAATTCCTCACTCCTGAATGTCTCCATTGCAATTAGTATTTTGCTCCTTGCTCTTTCTACGTATTGAGACATACCCTTAGGAGTGATGAGCAATGAAGCCATAAGGCTCAACTTGACTACACTTATTATAATTACCTTTGTACATATCCACTGGGCCTTTTTCTCTTCTTTGCTAAGATCATAATTTCTGGTCTCCATTCAAACAAAACAGACTTTCATACGAGCTGGCTGTCTTTTAGATAACTACTCTCCAAATGCCAACTCAATGCTTGGCATATGCTTATGTGGTCATAACTGACCAGATGCTGGGGATATATTAATAGCATAATTTTAAAATTCAATACTATACTTTTAAAACCTTATTAAAGAGGCAGTCTTTAATGTCTGGAGTCCTGAAGAACATACCTCTGTATGTCTTATGAGTTCCTTGAGTTTAATTTCCTCTTGAGTCTGCTCAGTCCAGCCTCCCTCCACCACCACTGGCTGCACGGGGCTTTTGTTGGGAACCATGGCGGCTGGCTGACGTGCTGTTACTCGCCGCCCTGGGGAAAGAAGTCCCTGGTAATGTTGCTTCTGAAGATGGGCTTTCGGATTTCAAATAAATTGGTTTGGCGTTCTATGCATAAATCATTCCACTTGGGAGCATAGGCTAAAATACTAAATATATCATAAAAGCAAAGATGCCTAAAGTAATAATATCTAACAATGCCTCTTCATATGGGAGCTTGAGGCTTCCAATAGCCAGGATATGCATATTCACTGTACAGATGGAAAAGAAAGATAACATGCTGAATTCCACACTGGCCCCGGCCTCTCCTGCATGATATGGTTCAGTGGTAATTTAGTCAAATGGAATCCATGACCTATATAGCCCATCATCTCTTCCAGTCATGGAACATATGTTTTGTTCTCTTCACTAATAATAAGCCTTTCCCCAACAATTAGCTTAGCAGCCTGGGGATTAAGTAATTCTAAAATAATATTAACCCAAGAGACAGGAGGCCTTTTTTTCTATCTAATAATACCCTCAAGCATGATTAGTTTCTGACACCTCTGCTGTGCCCTTTAGGTTGTTAAAAAGCTGTGGTAAGAGAAAATATTTATTGGAATACTGTACTCCAAAGAATAATAGGCATAATTTAATAAGTGTGTTGATTTGAATGTGTGCATTCTTTCAACTAGTCCACTTAAAATCATTATAAGAGAGATTTAAAAATCATACTTATGAAATTGTTTTCTTTTTCCATGTTGAAGATAAACTCACACTGAATCTCATACTGATCTCTAAACTTCTTAAGTAAAAATAATGCTTTCTTTCGCATGTTCCTTCTAGAAACTTATGGTGAGCCCCAGCTATCAGTCAGGTGTTGTGCTAGATAAGGCTAATACAAACATGTTCAAGATTTAGTCCTTGTCTCAAGTTTGGTGGGGAAGGCAGATGTCAAGGAAATGATTGAGCACATTTCACGATTTGAGAAACCCTATTAAATAAGAACATATCATTTTGATGAAAAACTTCACAAAGCAAAAAGTTGTGCTGCACCAGAGAAGTACAGGATCTATATAAAAGCATCTAACAGGGGCCACTGCCCTAGTCTGAAGTGCCAGAGAAGACTTCTTTGCGAAAGTAACGCTGAAGTGGATAAAATAATAGAAATACTAACACGAGGGGCGCCTGGGTGGCTCAGTAGTTAAGCATCTGTCTTTGGCTCAGGTCATGATCCCAGGGTCCTAGGATCGAGCCCCACATCAGGCTCCCTGCTCAGTGGAGAGTCTGCTTCTCCCATTCCCTCTGCCTCTCTCCCCAGCTTGTACTCTCTCTCTCAAATAAATAGATGAAATCTTAAAAAAAAAAAAAATGTTAACATGAAGTTGAGTCCTAATTTTGTTGCCAAGGGAGTCTTAGTATGCAGATTTTCAGAACCACAACTACAAACAAAACTCTTCGAAAACAACTTAGTATTTGCAGAGAATAAAGCATCTGCACTCTTGTAAGCTCAAGTTTGTGGAAACAGATCCAGCAATAAAAATAAATGGCAGCAATGACTTTTCAGGGGAACCAGAATTCTACATACATAATAAGCATTCTATGCAATTTATGGATGTGGAGAAAACATAATTGAATCAGTCAGCCAATGAATTACAGTGGCAATGCCTCAATAGCCAAACTGTGGAAAGAGCCAAGATGTCCATCGACAGATGAATGGATAAAGAAGATGTGGTATATATATACAATGGAATATTATGCAGCCATCAAAAGGAATGAGATCTTGCCATTTGCAACGACGTGGATGGAACTGGAAGGTATTATGTTGAGCGAAATAAGTCAAACAGAGAAAGACATGTATCATATGACCTCACTGATATGAGGAATTCTTAATCTCAGGAAACAAACTGAGGGTTGCTGGAGTGGGGGGTGGGGTGGGAGGGATGGGGTGACTAGGTGATAGACACTGGGGAGGGTATGTGCTCTGGTAAGCGCTGTGAATTGTGCAAGACTGTTGAATCTCAGATCTGTACCTCTGAAACAAATAATGCAATATATGTTAAGAAAAAAAAAAAAAAAAAAAGAAGAAGAAGGTAGCAGGAGGGGAAGAATGAAGGGGGGAAATCGGAGGGGTAGACGAACCATGAGAGACGATGGACTCTGAAAAACAAACAGGGTTCTAGAGGGGAGGGGGGTGGGAGGATGGGTTAGCCTGGTGATGGGTATTGAGGAGGGCACGTTCTGCATGGAGCACTGGGTGTTATGCACAAACAATGAATCATGGAACACTACATCTAAAACTGATGATGTAATGTATGGGGATTAACATAAGAATAAAAAAAAAGAGTATAGAAGAATAAAAGAAAAAAGTATTTGAATAAAAAAAAAAAAGAGTTACAGTGGCAATGCCATTAGGTTATGTGCTTTGGGGAAGACCACAGTCGTACGAGAAAAATGCGTAACACAATTTACCCAAATACAGTTTTTAGCCTACTCTATTCATAAAGTGCAGAAAACATTAATTTATGACACATAAATATTTTATTTATAGGGCCTTTTGAACACTAAAACTTTGCTCAACTAAAGAGAGCTCAGCAATAGTTTATCATTTACACTCTTAAGAGCCAAGATTTGAATGTAGGAAAAGAGCAAAAGCCATAATGCATTATTCGTTTTTTGTCAACTTGCTTCTAATGGTCTTAAAAAAAATGAATGCATTTGCACTATAATTTTCTTAAAGAGACATAATTTCATCACAAAAGGTTTTGGTTCGGGGAAAAATGTTCACAACAAACTATTCATGTAGGTAAGAATACAAATTGAAACCAAGCACAAATGTATTGATTAAATTATTTTTATTTTCTTATTACATTCTCCATATATCCTATTTTATTTCATATGAGATCTGGGGAAAGTAATGATAATAGCTAACAATTAATGGGGAAAACCAGAGAATGTGAGTGCTTTGCTGTCTTTCAAACTATAAATCTCACGCCCACACCCCTCCCTTGATCAGAGACCCACTCTGTTTCAGCATTATCTATGCCTGGGAGGGTAAGTCCATCTCATTTGAGGTTTTAGTTGGCAAATCCTTTTAGCTCTCACACTAAATAAAATACTCCACCATTGTCTTTATATGTAACAACGGTGATATTTTGGCCTAATCTGCCATTTCTTCATTTCATTGATCAGTTTTTAAGACCCCAAGTCAGAAAATGGGCTGCCTTCCTAGGAACCCTTATTCTAATATTTATTGAGTATTTATTATGTGCTATGCATGAAGTAAATACTTGACATTTGTTACTTCCTCATAAAAACCCTACAAAGTTATTACTAGTATTGTGATTAATATTAGCAGTGGCCATACTTACAAATGTAATGTAAAATCAGCTTGGCACAGTACTTTATATATGCTTAATAAACATTTGTTGTATTCACCAATGGCTATAATAACGGAAAATAATCTACTTAGCCACTATTTATACCTCCCATACCTCCTCTTTCATCCAGTCCTCAAGAAGCTCATCATCCAACAGGGATTGCAGTTAACTGAATTTTGACTTCTTCTTATTTATCTTCATAATCCCAACAACTAGAAAAGTTCTTCCTCAGAGTAGGTATTTTATATGTATGTATTGAATTTACATTTAATAACAGAAAATGCAACAGTTTGTCAGTGGAGACAAGATTTATCTTAGCACTAAATTCTAAGAGAAATTTCATTAATGCATTCCTTCATAATGGACATCATCTGACATCTACCAACAGTGATATTGCAGATGATACCAACTGAACTTTAAATGCTTTTTTTTTTATAAATGCTTTTTTAATACTTAATTATAATAAAAGCTGAAGACATGATATAAAATCAGAATATGGTAAAGGCAGCTCTGCTTGGTGCTATTTTCAGTATGTTGCTTTTTATTGATTTAATTTGATACAGGAATAGACCATAGAAAACTCAGTGGAAAGAATGGTTGAAATTCCATTCATTCTTTAATTCATTCTACAAGTATTCACAGTGCAAATAAGAAGGTAGTAGAATTTATAATGTAACATAGGAAAGACAGTCACATGACCAGGTAATTATATTAATGTAATAACGATTATCATGGGGGAAGCTCAAGGTATGATAAACCACATTATTCCTAACATGGAAAAGGGAAGGCTTTTAGGAAGAAATAATAAGTAAGCTGAAAACTATTTAATCAGTAGAAGCAATCCAAAAGGACAAGGAGAGAAAAGTTTGAGGCAGAGGAAACCAAATTGTGCCAAAAGCTCAGAGTTAAGAAAGCACCTAATATGTCTCGGGGACTGAAAAACAGTCTGACTGGTGGAGTGGAGAGGACAAGAAAAGAGAGCAGCTTACACAGAACCAGATCATGAAAGACCACATTGAGGAGTTCCATCTTTGTCCTAAAGATAATAGGGAGATTTGAAAGGTTTTATGCCTGGAGTACCATAATATCTTTTGTATTTTTGCCTGATCACTGCACCTTCAGAATGTCACCATTATGCATAGAATAGAAACTACTGTCAAGACTGGAAGCAGGGAGTCAAGTCACAAAGCTGTTCTAGTAATCCAAAGAATAGATGACATTGACTGGAATTTAGATAATACAGTTGGGGATGGAGACTGAATTCATTTGAGAAGATACATTGGAAGCAACAAGACGTACTGATATTTACCTAGGGAAGGTGAGAGAGGGGGAGATGCCAAGGATAACTCCCAGGTTTCTAAGATGGAACACGTGGGGGGATGATGGGTCCACTGCCAGAAGAAATGAAGGAGATACTGGAGTGGTGATATGAAAACTTTAGTTTTGGACATGCCCATGGGACGTTCTAGTGAAAATGTGTAGTAATTGGAATAGTAGACACTACCAGTCATGATAGATGCTTTTCATGTACACCCAATAATTCTTTTGGAAAGAAATGAATAATAGTCATTTCAGCCCAGAGTTCTGTCTAGTGCACTTACAACTAGTTGTGTTGCTTATTGAAGTAAAATTCACATGCTTTTGACAACAGACAGTGTGCATACTTAGGAGTTGAAATCCTGCCATGGCAATTACAGTGCCTGAAACGTATTTCTTTCTAGACTAAAGTCCATAATACTCTGTTTCTCCCCAAAGAATCATCTGGTATCTAAAGTGCTAGGAATAGTATAAGGTCTGGAACCTAAGATTCTGTGACAAAGAGAATGAAAGAGGAGAACAAATATTGCCAATTGATCACTTTGACTATGAATAGCATATCTTATGCTGACTAACATGAAGAAGCCCTTCTGAGATATTAATATTGAACTTTGAAAAATTCAGTACTTCCTCACTCAGATTATAAAATAAACAAACAGGGGCGCCTGAGTGGCTGTCTGTTAAGCTTCTGCCTTCAGCTCAGGTCATGATCCCACGGTCCTGAGATGGAGCATCAGGTACCCTGCTCAGTAGGTCTGTTTCTCCCTCTCCCTCTGCCCCTGCTCAGCTCGTCCTCACTTTCTCTCTCTCTCTCTCAAATAAACATTTGCGCATGCTCTCTCTCTCAAATAAATAAATAAATCTAAACAAAACAAAACAAAACAAAAACAACCCCCCACCTTCTTCCCCAACATACCCAAGGAATAGACCGAAAGTTTTGTTTAAGGACTAATTCCAAAGCCCACAAAATGTTAGTTCAGCAACTGTTTCAATTCCAGCATAAGGGTTATATGACCCAGACACTCTCCTAATTTTAAAAATTTACATATAATTCATGTGGTATTCATTTTAATATAAAAGTTACAAATATAAAATCAGTACTGAAAGATATATTATTAGGTTTTAGACTTGCTCAAGTGACTTTTGTGACACAGTATTTATAGTACTCAGTTGAACATCTGGTATCTAATAGTAGGAAAAAACTTCCAGCAAATTGGGGTTACATTTAGAATTAAACATAGTGATACTTGATTTAGTTCATACTGACCTTTTAACAGTCTCATTTTGTGTTTCATGGTGTCTAGATCAGCCAAAATTTTGTCTTTTTTTAGCCACTTCTGTTTTTCTAATTTTTGGGCTTTCTGCAATGCTGGAAAAAATATATGATATTTTATCTTGCATTGTGTTATCAACAGTAATTTATCATGCAAGCCAATAATTTATAAAGAACTTTCTGCTCCAAGAAATAGATTCAATTAGAAATAAGTAATTAAAAGGTAAGGGTCATTAAAAAAACCTCATTTGAAAGATGACAGGGCTTAAGGCATTTCTTTATGGAATGGAGAAGGGGGGGAAGAAGAACAGTGCTGTTTTATTATATAGATTTACCATATGCAATAGCCATATTTCATTTTCCACTTCCACAAACTATTTGGAGGTGATGAAAGCCTAGCTTGGAACCATTCATTTTTTAAACATCCACCTACTGCCTAAAGGGTGCAATTCTTAAAAATGAAAATGTGCAGACAGGTCGTCTTCAGTGTGAATTAAACTCATTTGTTATTTTCTAATGTATACCATTATTCTCAGTCTTATAGACCAAGGATCTCTTTATCAACTAAATTAGACATTTTTCCATGCAGAATACTCCATTCCAGTAAAAAAAAACAAAACAAAACAGGCAACTGTGCAAATATAGGAGTATAGCTAACCTTGTGCACATATTAACTGATGGACCTCCTGTTCTTTGCACAAATGTGATGTTATTATGTTGGCATTATATACATTTTATTCTTTTCTTACAGTGACATAAAATTTATTTCTCTCTCCTTTATACACTTGTTTGAAAGAAAGCAAAAACAAAAAACTTACCCTTCGGAGATAGAAATGGTTCACCACAAGATACCCAGATGGCAATGGGATTTCTGAGGATGAGAGTGAGCAAAGACTTATCTATACCATCCAAACTATCGGATGTCACAGACTTTGGAAACAATTTGGTTTTCACTTTCATTCTTGAGTTTTCTAGGAAACAAATGGCACATTAATCAATACACGATTAATAATGAATAATTTGCCTCCTGAGTTTGTTTATTCAAAATATTTCATTTCTCATTAATGACTTGATTTAAACAGTTAATACATAAACCAGATGCAAATACATAAATATGATCAGAAACTTCATATGCAACCAAATAATTTAAACTAATCTGATTGTAAATAAACTTTTAAATTCCTTTCTTATGCTTTACTAGTTATGAAAGAAATCTGAGATGGCTTACTAAAATATCTACTCTGAAGAGGAATAAAATAAAGAGAGAAAAAAACCAAGGACAGGAGGAAAGAAGTATAGCAATAGACTAAAGCCAGGGATAAAATGCTTTAGTGTCCTTATCTTTTAAATGAATAATAGATACTAGATATCTCATTCTGCTTTTGGGAAGATTAAAAGAAAAAAAAAGGAAGTGCTTAGAATAAATGGTGTTTGGTCTATTTAATTGGACGAGCATCCAAAAAATGCTAGATAACATTTTTGTTATTGAACGGACATGAAAGCCACACTTTTCGCTTGCTAGAGTTAAAGCACAGTTTGGGTTCTAAGCATTCTAGTGGCCCAAGTAAAGAAGAAAACACAATTTCAAGATTCACATGGCCCATACAGAGAGAGAAATTCCTCAGAAGATACAACTTTCCTGGCCCTGAGATCTGAGAGAAATTTATTTCAGGGTCCACGTAAAGGGTTTTTTTGTGAGGTAGCAAACAGTATCCTATAATAGGAATGAACAATATTGAGAACTTAACAACATGCTGGGTATTTCACTAAGAGTTCTGCATACATTATTTCAGGTAAGTCTCAAAATGATACTCTGAGGTAGGTCCATTCCTCTTTTACAAAGTAACTGAGGCTTAATCACATAGCTAGGTAGCGGCAGAGTCAGGATTAGAACCCAGGCCATATGCCTCCAGAGCCTGTGCCCTTAACTGCCATCTCCATAGCGAACATGATACTCAGTTTCTGACTGGTGTCTGTTTTTTTAAAGTTCCTCAATGCAAATTGATGGCATAACATAAGCCACAATTCAGTAAAAGGGGGCAACCCACTAATGGATCGGCCTGATTCAAGGATAACCTCTAGAATATAGAGAGGAAGGGATGGCCATATACTTTTAGTACTCCAGCATGAATCACATTACTTCCAGTCAAGTTTTAAATAACAATTTGAAAGAAGGGCCTTTGAGATTGTAATCTTCCAGAACCTGGAGATCAGATATTCTATATGCCAAGTAAAGACCAAACTATATGCTTTAATGATTAGCTAGGCATTAAATGCTGACATAATTATTTTTAAAAACTAATTAGAAAACAGGACAAGTAATATCATTGTGAAATAATAGAAAATATATATATTGGTCTCTGCCCTAAGTTCCTGGAAGAAAGCTTCTAAAATTCTGGTCATTTTCTAAGTGATAAGAGCACTAGGAGCATCTTTTGTTCTAATATTTTGTCTTTGATCCTGGTTCCTCACGCAGATCCTAAATCCTTTGGAATTTCCTGGATGATAGCAGTAGCTTGTTTTCTAACAAGAGCACTTTTGGCAGACTCTTGGATGAAGGCTGGTCACCAGGAAGACCAAGCCATGATTAGAACCTTGGAGTTTTCCATCCTACACTTCATTGTCCAGAGAAGGGAGAGAGGCTGGAAATGGAATTAGTGAACAATCATGCCTACATGATAAAATCCCATACAAATCCCAAAAGTACAGGGTTTGGAGACCCTCTGGGTTGGTGAATGCATGGAGATGGTAGGAGAGTGGTGGGCTTGGAGAGAGCAGAGAAGTTATGTGCTCCTTCTCACACAACTTGCCCTACTCATCTCTTCTACCTGGATGTTCATCAGTATTCTTTATCATATCCTTTTATAATAAACCAGTAGACAGTAAGTAGACTGTTTCCTTGAATTCTGTGAGCTTCTCTACCAAATTAATTGAACTGAAAGAAGGAATCATGGGAATTTCCAATTTAAGCCAATTGGTCAGAAACACAGGTCTGGACATCTGAAGTGGGGGATGGATCGGATAGCAGTCTTGTGGGACTGAGCTCTTAACCTGTGGGATCTGAAGCTATAACCAGGTAGACAGTGGCAGAATTCAGTTAAATTGCAGGACACCCAGCTGGTGTCACAGAATTGCTTGGTATGGGGAAAAAAACACATCAGGTGTCAGAAGTCTTGTGAATGTGATAAGAGTGTGAGAGTAAAGGACAGATACACAGGAAGAAGAGTGGGTTTTTCCTACTCAACTGTACACACAATAATGATAGCTAATATTCATTGAATGTTTAGTAAACATCAACCAGGCACTACTCTAAGTGACATATACATTTATATATAAACTCCTATTCATATATGTTTTTATGAACACATGTTCATATTTATGAGGACCAAATGAGTATATATTTACATGACTATCAGTGTGCAATTCATAAAATGAGGAAACTGAGGTCCAAGAGGTTAAACAACTTGCCCAAGATCATTCAGCTAGCAAGGAACAGAGGTAGGATCCGAACCCTGGTATTCTGGCTCCAAAACCCAAGTTCTTAATCTTCAAATCATGACTCTCAGTACAACAGTGGAAATCTGAGATCACTCCGCTGAATCACTGTGAGTTAGACTCATTCGTATTTCCCAAACTGTTGCTGGGGACAGAGTTCCTGGCCTCAACTTGTACATAGTTTGATGAGACACACAAAGATGTAAACAGATAATTATAATACAGTGTGCTGGGAGGTGCAATACAGGGGCCTTCACTGATGCTTCTGGGAGTTTAGAGGGGCAGTGGCAATGGGCAGGGGCAGGAGGATAGACAACATCCTCTCTTCAAATAATAGAAAGAGATTTGCATTGATCCAGCCCCACCTTCTTAAGTGGTCTCCAGTTGGTTTTGGTTTTAAATTTAAAAACAAAAGCTGCTCATGTTATATAAAGTAGCTAAGTTGTCAAACATATTTTATAAATTTGAGGCAATTTTTTTATAGTTTTGGTGCTGAGACCAAATTTACATTATTTGTTAACTTTTTCTTATCATTCTGCAAGGTAAAAGCAATACGAGAATCTCACATGAGAGAAGCTTCCTGTGATTCTATAATTCTAGAAAGGGGTGATTGAGTCACAGAATCACATTTAACTTTTTTATGATGAAAAATAAGAATCAGCTAAATCCTATAGAATGTAACCAACCTTTCATACTTTTAATAGTTGTCTCCTTTGTTCGAACAGGGACTGCCTCTTTCTTTTGTTCCTCAGTGTTTCTCTGGATGAAAGATTCCTCTAGCGCCCATAAAACCAAATCACATAAGGAAAGGATTGTGGTCCCATCTTTGGTATATACTTTGGAGGCTGCTCTGGTGAGACCAAGTTGCTCCGTGCATTCTGTAAGAAGCTAAATAACACAGATTGTAAGGAACTGATGAGACGAAAGAGTGATAGGGCTGGGAATAATCGTGAAGAGCTTATTATTTTAGAAATTTGAGAAAATCCATTAATTTGCAAAAACAGAAAGCTAAATAACTACCGACTTGATCTTTAATTAGAGACAATTTTTGGTATCAGACTGTCCTACATAATCTCACAAAATCAGTCCACTCAAACTGAAAATTAGCTCCAAAAATTTAACACAGCAGCTGATGTATGTCAATACATTTTATCATCAGTGTTTACTTCCTAAGAAGTGTTCAATTTAGAGATTCACTTTCAACTTTGTTGCTTTATAAGGTATAAAATTGTAACACTTTGTATTGATGAACTGCTTTAAAATAAATGAGTTGACTTTCAAACCCAAACTAACCTATATTATTACTTTCATTTTGCAGAAAGGAAAACAGGCTGAAAGGGTAACATTTTTGTCCGAGACTACAGAAGCCAGTTATGGAGCTCAGGGTGAATCTTGGAGTTGCTAACTTTTGTGATTTGCTTAGTTCACTGAACAATATCTTAATAAAAAGGCTATTTGTATTCAACTGAAAAGGTGAGCAAACGAGTAGGTGTGTATGTGTGTGTTTGCAAGGACGTCTCCAGGGTAAGTCCATATCATATTTAATGTTGCTTATAAAATATGCTGTTAAAGGCACTGGCCAGAATGTATAGACAAGAGAGTCACCAAGAAAAGGAAGGACAAAGCTGGGTTTGAACCTCTTGAGCTCTATGACAGAAACCACATGTTTCTTCCTAACACAACTCTTGCTTCTCCGATTTGAAAATGAAATGAAACAACCTGTCAACAAATAAGTGCTCAGATTTTCCAAATGATAAATGAGGTGGCATCTCTTAGAATATTCAGATGACATACAACTTGAAGCTGGAAAGGGAAAGAAGGCGACAAAAAGGGGGGGCATTGCCTCTATCATACAAGTGAAGAAAATCTGGTAGCTTGGTGTCCCCCTGCTTTTAAGTATCTTTGCTCTGAAGCCAATCTAAAAACCTGGTTTCTGGTTTCTCATTTTTCTAAGCCTGTATCCAAAGAAATACAATAAAAAAGAATATCTTTAAGAAAACAAAGATCTTTATCTCATCAGCTTGAATTGGTGAAACTGGCCAGGGACATTTATCATTCAATCCCACTGCTTTTTTCTTGTCAGAAGAATCACTATTATCATTACCTCGGAGGATGCAAGAAACGTTTAAGTGATAGCCACTTACTGTGGGGAATGTTCCAGCCACAATTAACTTCCCATTTCGATATCCATCTCCATTTTTGTATGCAATTACTTTCACTGCCTTCTGGTGCAGAGCTGCTGTACCCCTATGAGATACAACTTGCGTGCAGGTCTTCATCCGTAAAGATAATAGGCGTTCTTCATAATAACTTAGCGTTTTCTCAGCCTCATAAGAAGATAAATCAGCCTGATTAAAAAACAAAAACAAAAACAAAAAACACAGAGGTCTACTCAAGCTTTTTACTTTAGTTTTTGTTATTTTGGTATATTTCAGTCTCTTAATTTAATAAATATTTGCATGTACCTGTGTGGTATCTAAATTTTGAAATGCTCACTCCGCATGCTATAGGTATTGGATACCACAGTGGGAAGAACATTGGGTCAGAGCTCAGTTCTCTTCCCAGCCCTGTCACTGAGTCTCTAGGTGACTTTAGGTCTCTGGCTTGTGTGCCTGGCCTTCTCCTATTTTCTACTTTGCCTTCTCCTGTGACAGGAGTTGGGGGAGGATGCCAGGGCCAAAGAAAGCCTGGCGTTGAAGTAATGAGAATGCTAGCACTACAGATAATCTCTTCCTCTTTAACTTGAGGATGATGCCATCCTGTGGTGGCAGATATTGATGAATGGGGAGGGGAATGAGTGCAGTCCTAATCTACATGGTAAGGAGGGTTGTAAACACCACACTTCACCCTTCCTTTTCCACCCCTACTCAGGATGCTGCTTTGAAGGAAAATCCCTGAGTTGCTTTAACACTGGGGATTCTTTCCAGTCAGCTCACCAGCACCTCTTTAGCCCCACCATCACAAAAGCAAAGCCAAATGCCTTCAGACTTCCCCAGAGGACTGACTTCTTTTCACCTTCAGAGTTACTGCTGCATTTAATGTTTATTGCAACTGTTCCTATCCCCTCCAGACCCCTCCCACCCGGCACTGTGTATCCAGTTTAGGAGAACAAGGAGAAAAGATCTAGAAATGGAGACAACAAGTCCTGGAGAGCACACCAAGTTGGAAGGTTCCTCTTAGGAATTTTTCCTTTTTATTTTTTTATATTTTTTATTTTTATTTTATTTTATTATGTTATGTTAATCACCATGCATTATATCATTAGTTTTTGATGTAGTGTTCCATGATTCATTGTTTGCGTATAACACCCACTGCTCCATGCAGTACGTGCCCTCTTTAATACCCATCACCAGGCTAACCCATCCTCCCACCCCCCTCCCCTCTAGAACTCTCAGTTTGTTTCTCAGAGTCCATAGTCTCTCATGGTTCGTCTCCCCCTCCAATTCCCCCCCTTCATTTCTCCCTTCCTGCTATCTTCTTTTTTTTTTTAACATGTATTATTTGTTTCAAAGGTACAGGTCTGTGATTCAACAGTCTTACACAATTCACAGCACTCACCATAGCACATACCTTCCCCAATGTCTATGACCCAGCCACCCCATCCCTCCTACCCCCCATCACTCCAGCAACCCTGTTTGTTTCCTGAGATTAAGAATTCCTCATATCAGTGAGGTCATATGATACATGTCTTTCTCTGATTGACTTATTTCGCTCAGCATAATACCCTCCAGTTCCATCCACGTCACTGCAAATGGCAAGATTTCATTCCTTTTGATGGCTGCATAATATTCCATTGTATATAGATATAGATATAGATATAGATGTACCACATATATACCATATCTTCTTTATCCATTCATCTGTCAATGGACATCTTGGCTCTTTCCATAGTTTGGCTATTGTGGACATTGCTGCTATAAACATTGGGGTGCACATAGCCCTTTGGATCCCTATATTTGTATCTTTGGGGTAAATACCCAGTAGTGCAATTGCTGGGACGTAGGGCAGCTCTATTTTCAACTTTCTGAGGAACCTCCGTACTGTTTTCCAGAGTGGCTGCACCAGCTTGCATTCCCACCAACAGTGTAGGAGGGTTCCCCTTTCTCCACATCCCCACCAACATCTGTCGTTTCCTGACTTGTTAATATTGGCCATTCTGACTGGTGTGAGGTGGTATCTCATTGAGGTTTTAATTTGGATTTCCCTGATGCCGAGCGATGTTGAGCACTTTTTCATGTGTCTGTTGGCCATTTGGATGTCTTCTTTGGAAAAATGTCTGTTCATGTCTTCTGCCCACTTCTTGATTGGATCATTTGTTCTTTGGGTGTTGAGTTTGATAAGTTCTTTATAGATTTTGGATACTAGCCCTTTATCTGATATGTCATTTATAGGTGTGTAAGTTCCCCTTAGCACATCCTACTCTAAACCTGAAAGAGAAGACTTTTTAAATGGTGCCATTTTAAATTAAGATCACAAGAAAGTGGCAGAGATTTTTTTTTTTCTCCATGAGCTATAAATAGTATTAGACATGGATGCATGAATTCATCATGAACAACACGTCAAATTCCCCCTGAAATGTTCCATACTAGTAAAAAGAAGTTTGCCCTGTGAATATAGGCAAAAATCTGCTCCACTAAGTAAAGATTTGCAGTTACTTCCTCATCTAAAAGCAACACAGAGAGCAGTGGCAGGGGTTAGTAGATGATTAAAGCCGCAGAAGTGCCCAATTAACTTCAAAGAGTGTATCGAACTATTAATAGACAATGTATTTTAAATTACAATGGGGAAGAGGAAATCAATGCAGGTGGAGTAGTAAAGGGGCATCAGAGGAAGATGAATTGGATGACTGGAGATGAACTTGAGTGCAAGGCAGATAATGAATACATCAAAGTTTCCAAAGTGATGCCACACATGTATTAGCAGAGCTCAGGTCGTTACACACCTCTGCCACACTGATGACCTTGAAAGGCCCTCGTGAGAACGGTGTCTGGGTCTTGCAGCCCGAGGCACAGAGGAATGGCAGTCCTGGACACAACTGTTTGAGCCCCTTCTCTGCTCTCATGGATTGTCCACATGCTAAGCAGAGCATTGTTTTTTTCTTTCCAGTGGGTGAGAGATAATAGTATCCCTAAAAAAAAGGAACAAAGATGGTTTTATGTAGGCACATCTAAATGATGATAGCATTTTTGTAGAGTACTTTACAATACAAATAGAGCACTTTTATAATCCCCAAATGCTAAATTTGAAATCTCAACCTAAATGCATCATTTTGCTCCCTAATAATTATATTTTTAAAAAATCATATTTCCAAATTCCGTGGACTGAAAAAGGATAAAGGCAATGACAATTCAACATCAATGAGTATAACTTATGTCAAGGATTGGGGTTTCCTGGAGGAATGGCCAGTTCCAGATTTGGGGCAAGATATATATAAGGTGAGCAAGTGATGTCTTGTGGGGCCTGGAAAGAAAAGAAGCCATCCAAGAGTCAAAGAATCATTTTTAAAAGACACAAGAACCAACAACATGAAGGAGCCTCCACTGGCCCAAAGTGGGACAATTTGGGAACAACAAAAAGAAAAATAACAAAACACTTTAGATAGGCTTAAAAATATAAAATCCCATGAGCTCATAATGATGCTAAAAATACTTGTAAGTAAACTGGCACCAACTTATAACTTGGAAAACTGGCCATTAGAAAGTGTGGCCGATTATTTGCAGAGATGGCCACAAGAAAACCGCCCCATCCTGGTTTGCATGTCCTTCTGAAATGTGACTTCACTGCTCCTCCAAACAAGAAATCTTTCTCCTTTTGTCCTTTCCTTGAATCTGAGCAAGATCATGTGACTTGCTTTGGCCAATGCAGCCTTAGTAAACGTGACGCAAGCAGATGTGTAAGACATGCTTGCACGTTGGAGGTTGTCCTTTTGGCTGCAATGGGAACCCTGAGACCACAATGTGAACAAACTTGAGCTGGCCTATTTAAGAAGTCTTGAGGAGAACCAAGGCCCCCAGCTAAGGGCTGGCAATCTCCAAACATGTAAGGGAGATCATCTTTACCATCCAGTCCCCACAGAACCACCAAACTACGGACATACCACCAGATGACCACACATGAGTGTCACATTACTGACCCTGGGCAAGAACAGCAAGGCCACTCAGATTTTTGGCCCACAGAGTAAAAAAAATGGTTCTTGGTTTAAGCCACTAAGTTTTCAGGTGGTTTATTATACCACAATAGATAAGCGGGTGGATAGAAAGAATTAACATTTATCCTACCATCCCTTACAAACCACATTTTTCGGTAGTCAAATACCTAGTCGAAGAAGATGAACCTCGTTGAAGTTCTTCCTTACATTAAAAGTTCAGCTAATAAATGTTGGGGGAAATGATAGAATTAGACAAAATTGACCCTTTTGAAACTCCTAATGAAATAATTGATTTAGGCAAAGATCACCAAAGAGTGAAACTCTATGAAAAGGTCATTGGGAGATTTGTTCAGTGTGAGCTTAGGTTCTAATCATGCCCACTGATACCCATTATCACTAAAAATGGAAAATCCAGACATTGTATTCCTGCATAAATGATCAATATGAAATATACCATAAACCCATGAAGATTCTTGTCAAAAAATGTTGATCATAAATCTAATCACAACTCTAGTGTTAAATTCCTTTTATAGGAATTATGGGGGCTAGAGAAACAAATTTAAAAATGCCATAGGAAATAAACAGACAAATCCAAATAAGAGGCATTCTATAGGACAATTCTAGAGTCTACAACCAAATGTCATATAAGGATCTTGCTTGAATCCTGATTTGCATCAACTAACCATAAGAAGAAATTTTTAGAAGAACCTAGAAAATTTGATAAAGAACAGGGTACTTGATTGATGGCCAAAGGATTATTGTTAATTTTGCTAGGTGTCATAATGGTATAAAGATTATGTAAGAAAATGTTCAAATTTTTTAGAGGTGTACACTTAACTTTAAGGTGGGAATGGTATCATGCCTGGGGTTTGTAAAGATTGCAAAACCTTGATAACAGTTGAATTTGGATGGAAAGTATATTAGGATTCATTACACTAATCTATTTTTCATTATACTATTTCTATTTTTAATATAGAATATAGTATACTATTCTATGCTATATTATTCTATTCTATGTGTGAAAATTTCCATAATAAAATTTTAAAGTACTTTTATATAGACTCTCTAATTTGCTTTGGTTCTCACAAAGCTAAAAGTTAAGTGCAGCAAGAGTTATTATCATTCTTAATCAATTTACAGATGAGAAAACAAAAGCTCAGAGAAGGAAGTTTTCATCTAAGGATACTCGAGTAGTACATGGCAGAACTGAAATATAAAACTGACTTCTGATTCCAAGTTCTTAGCTTTTTTTTACCTTTCTCACATTGCTTCAACTACCCCCTTTAAGTACGTAGAGTTACCTCAATTCAAAGCCAACATTTAGATAACACTTTTGAAGATGTAATTCTTAAATTCCGCTACAGATTTCTCTATATGCACATACGGCTTCCATTTTTCTACATGTTACTGAAAGGCAGAAAATTAAAATATCTCTGCTTAGATGGAATTGAATGAATATTATGAGCAGAATCATTTCTATAGAAAAGCATGTACTTCATGATGAATTGCATGCCAATAATTTTCCTTATTACACTAAAGAAGCCCAATGAAAAGTATCCAGAAAGTGTACTTTTCTTTCATTAAAACATCAATTCCTATGACCATGGTGCTACAGGTTTTGATGAACTCTGAATTGTTTTAATTTGGCAATGGTGCATGCATACACTGTAAACTAGATTTTTGATTAATTCATTCACATTTAATATTGTTTTGAAACTGCTGATGGAAAGAAAAAGGCAATACATCTGGGAAGCTCCCAGGTTAACTATGCCTGTAGAATGCAAACAGAGTTTAAAAGTTCAGTAAATCAGCCACTGGTATTCTGTCCAGAATACCAGGCAATTGATTTGACTAATTCTTTTCTCTGTAAAATTTTCCTTGATTTATTGAAATGAATAATATGATCTGTTCATTTGGCCTTACAAATATATGGTCTATTACATGGGGTTAGTCTGATCAATAATGACTGTTACTATTGTATAGTAGCTAATGCGATTATGAATAAATTATTCAGTGTCTTCCTCATATTTGTTATTTAAATGAGATACCATATATGAAAATCACTAAGTTTGATCAGTATGTAACATACAGTAGCTATGTAGCATATAATAGTTACTTCATATTAGTTTTCTTTTTCTAAGCTATCCCTTAGGATAAGGTCTAGAAAAGGAGTTCTTACCCTACATCCAAAATGAATTTCAGGGGGAGTCTATAAACTTCCTAAAACTTATTCAAAAGGTGTTTGTGTACACACATGAATTTTTGGGGAAAAGAATATCCATTATTTTCATGAAACACTCAAAGAAGTCTGTATCTCCAAAAAGGTTAAGAAGTAACCACTGGCCTTTGTACAACGAGTAATTTCTCCCAAGCCCAGGAGAGGTTTTTAATCTATGAATCCCAGAACTGATATATTATTGTACTCTCCAGATTAATCATATTAACTTCTATCAGATAGGCTATCATTTAACTATTGATAAAGTAAAATTATAATCTTTAGATTATATTGTTAGAACAAATAATGGTTAGAAACTGGAAAGTTGTACTTTGGTTAACATAAAAAGAACATCTTTTTTATTATTATGTTAATCACCATACATTACATCATTAGTTTTTGATGTAGTGTTCCATGATTCATTGTTTGCGTATAACACCCAGTGCTCCATGCAGTATGTGCCCTCTTTAATACCCATCACCAGGCTAATCCATCCCCCTCCCCTCTCCCCTCTAGAACTCTCAGTTTGTTTCTCAGAGTCCATAGTCTCTCATGGTTCATCTCCCCCTCCGATTTCCCCCCCTTCATTCTTCCCTTTCTGCTATCTTCTTCTTTTTTTTTTAAACATATAATGTATTATTTGTTTCGGAGGTACAGGTCTGTGATTCAACAGTCTTACACAATTCACAGCGCTCACCATAGCACATACCATCCCCAATGTCTATGACCCAGCCACCCCATCCCTCCCACCCCCCACCACTCCAGCAACCCTCAGTTTGTTTACTGAGATTAAGAATTCCTCCTATCAGTGAGGTCATATGATACGTGTCTTTCTCTGATTGACTTATTTCGCTTAGTATAATACCCTCCAGTTCCATTCATGTCATTGCAAATGGCAAGATTTCATTTCTTTTGATGGCTGCATAGTATTCCATTGTATATATAGATAGATATAGATATAGATATAGATATAGATATAGATATACCACATATATACCACATCTTCTTTATCCATTCATCTGTTGATGGACATCTTGGCTCTTTCCATAGTTTGGCTATTGTGGACATTGCTGCTATAAACATTGGGGTGCACATAGCCCTTCGGATCCCTATATTTGTACCTTTGGGGTAAATACCCAGTAGTGCAATTGCTGGGACGTAGGGCAGCTCTATTTTCAACTTTCTGAGGAACCTCCGTACTGTTTTCCAGAGTGGCTGCACTAGCTTGCATTCCCACCAACAGTGTAGGAGGGTTCCCCTTTCTCCACATCCCTGCCAACATCTGTCGTTTCCTGACTTGTTAATATTAGCCATTCTGACTGGTGTGAGGTGGTATCTCATTGAGGTTTTGATTTGGATTTCCCTGATGCCAAGTGATGTTGAGCACTTTTTCATGTGTCTGTTGGCCATTTGGATGTCTTCTTTGGAAAAATGTCTGTTCATGTCTTCTGCCCACTTCTTGATTGGATCATTTGTTCTTTGGGTGTTGAGTTTGATAAGTTCTTTATAGATTTTAGATACTAGCCCTTTATCTGATATGTCATTTGCAAATATCTTCTCCCATTCTGTTGGTTGTCTTTTGGTTTTGTTGACTGTTTCCTTTGCTTTGCAAAAGCTTTTTATCTTGATGCAGTCCCAATAGTTCATTTCTGCCCTTGCTTCCCTTGCCTTTGGCAATGTTTCTAGGAAGAAGTTGCTGCAGCTGAGGTCGAAGAGGTTGCTGCCTGTGTTCTCCTCGAGGATTTTGATGGACTCCTGTCTCACA